TTTTAACATGAAAATTACAACGTTTTTTCATTAGATGCATCCCACTCTAAAAAGTTGACATTTTGGCATTTGTCTTTTTTTAATGAACTAGTCTCTATGAACGTGCGTTGCACGTTAATAATTGCGTAGATATTCAGTCTCTTTAATAATTGCACGTAAATATTCAGTCAATAATTAATATTTCGCCTTGGAAATTTGTATTTTTATAAAAATAATTATTATTATAATTAAGATAATTGCATGTAGATATGTGTCAAGTTATACGAAATGCATTTTGAAAGTAATAAACTTGCAATTGCATAGATATTCTAAATTGTTACTCAAATGTATATGAGATTCAATAACATATTTCGTAAAATAAAAGAAAGAATATATTATACAAATAAAACTAATTCATTGATAAAGTTTTGACGCAATTAAAGATATGTAGTTAAAATTGTAAAGACATTGAGGGCTCGTTTGATACGAGGGATAAGGGATCACTAATTCTGAGATTAAATTTGAGATGAATTTATCCCACGTTTGGTCAGGATAAAATAGCGTTATTACCAATTCCGAAATTAGCTATCCTGGAATTGTAATGTTATTTTATTCCTATGAGAGGGTAAAATAACTATCTTGAGATAACTAATCTCGTGATAATTAATTGGTGTTTGGACATAAGAATTGTGAAATTTCGAAAAAAAAGTGAAAAAAAATCAAGTGAAAATGGTATTTGAAAATTAGAGTTGTGTTTGAACAAATATACAATCAGATATATTTTTGAATTATTGTGAGTGATTTCATGTGAAATTTTTGAAAAACAGCTTTTTGGAATTTTTTAAATTTTCGAAAAATTTCAAAATTTAATTTCAAGGAAAATTTAAAATTTTTTTGGCCAACCACTAATTCCGAAAAAGTAAAAAAAAAAAATCGGAGAAAAGCTGTATGGCCAAACATGCCCTTAATCTTGTGATAACTTGGGTTCCAACCAAACGAACCCTAAGAATACAATAGTTTTAATATCTTTGTGATACGGTGGTATATTTTAACTCAAGTATATGGAAGTCATATCATAATATTCCGTACACCAAATTTGTCTGAGTTCGACAACCATTAACCATGTTTGAAGTATCAAGAGACCAGCGAAGATCTTCACCTATCAGGCTCTTCGTTTTTCATCCCTTCTTAGCATTACTTTTATTTCTCGCATGAAAATCAATACTTTTAACGTGAATCAAATTGAATTTATATGTAGACTGTAGCATTACTTTTCTTATAATCTAAAATATGTTATAGTAGAGAGTCCGTCAAAAGCACATACTTGAAATTTAGAAAATTCATAGAACATCATTCTACAAATTATAAAAAAAATATTATGATTAGAATAATAGAATGATTATATTTGCCTCCGCAGTACAAATCTCATGTGAGCTTTGGCGTAGAATTATTAGGTTAATTAGAATATTTTGACCATAATCACTTACATAAAATAAAGAGGAAAAACATATACAAAGTTTATGGATAATCGAAATAAATAAACAGAAAAAATAATAAAAAAATACTTAATGACCCCCCCCCCCCCCCACTATAGAATTTGTTAACCAGGAGAGAGACAACATCTTATTCTTCTTTGTTTAGTTTTTTTTTTTTAAACTAACAACATAAAAATAAAAAATAAAACAAATAAACATATTTTGTCCTAATTCTCTTTGGACAAAAATAACTACTCCTGCAACATTGGATAACTGATTTTTGGGTAATTTGCTACTCACCGTCCGTCTAAATAGCCTTCACCTATTAACCAACAATATAACCAAGAAATGTATTTGCAATAAGGGTATAACCTTTTATCGTATGGAATCAACTTTGTAGGTGGTGTATGTATAGTTTAAATCGAAAAGCATTATAGTCTTAGGTGATTTACAATTATATTCTAAAATTATATAAATATTTAAGATTATAAAAGTGGATCAATATTTGAGGGATATTTTCGTCGTTCAACATTTAGCATAGATTATTGGTGCTTTTATAATAATATAGATATATATATATAGATAGATAGATAGATATCTATGAACGTGCGTTGCACGTTAATAATGATACACGATGGTTTAACCATTTATATCATCTGAAAGCTGAAAAATATCATTACATTAGCATAATACGTGAATTCAAAATGAAAGGACATCATCAGAACATACACAAATGATCAATTTAGTCGTGTTAGTTAGATAATTTTACGCATTATAGTTTAAACGTATTTAATTTGATGGTATCTTACCGAACACTTCTTTGTAGATGATATTTTTGTGTTTGTTTCTTTCTAATGCTTTGGTTGTTCTGCCATAACCAGAACTCTTGTTGTCGATTGATATTCCTTTCTTCGTGCAAAAAAACATATTGCGATAAATAGAGTCTAATATTTAGGATGTTTGTCCTTGTGTTTTATTTATTTAATTGATCAATATATTCATTTCTGCTAGCTAAGATAGCCTTTTAATTCTATCATGCAATTTGGATAAATTGCGATTTAATCTATTGATAGAAATATTTTCCTTATTAAATGCACTACTATTACAATTGGTATTGATAACCAAGTGTTATGAAAGAACTATATGCTCTTTTTTGTTTCTGACACGAAGCAAGAAGTTACTGAATACTGGACATGTTCTTACTTTATATTTCTTGTCAGTTGAATCTTTTTAATTTGAGTCCATAAGTATAATTTTGCTAAGCTAGTTTTTACAGTCCTTGCTTTCATCGATTTTGTAACTATTGATATATAGTACTTGACAGAAATCACCTTCCAAGCGATTAGTTTTTTACCAAATGGTTCGCTGGTATTCAATATATCTCCAGGGTCATAAGCGATTCATCCCATATTATCAATTTTACTTTTCTTATAATTTAGCAGTGTTTCTTGCTTTCATNGTTTTATCCAAAGTTGTTACCTGTTTTGGTATATTCTGTTTAATACCACCATTGAGTGCTGATATTCATTGGTTTGTAGTGCATATATTTTACTTCTAAGTTTTGATTTGGTATATGTGAAACTTATGCAGATCAAAGATGTCAAATTTTAAAAACCCTGTGGATCCAACATGCTGGAAACAAAAAGGAAAACGTCAATGCTCTGAAGAAAGAGGCATCCAAATTAAACAAAGACGTCGCGAAATGTATAGGGCAAGGTCGGCTGATAAAAGAGAACTAAATTTACTGGAGCGCCGAACGACATACCTTCATTCTAGAAAGCAGAATCCAACCAGTGATTCCACTGAAGTATCAGCTTGCTACCAATTTAATAGAGAATTAGCGAAGCAGAGAGCTGCACTAACAGGAGCCTCATCTTCTACCTTGAGAACAGGTTCTACCTTGAGAACAGGTTTGCGCGCTGACATTTTGTTATCCTTGAATAAACTATGTGATTCACATTTTTTGTATGCTCATAACTTCCTCTTATGTTTTAGTATAAATGTGTTCACAGTTAATGATTCCACTTTTTCTGATAATGGGAAAGATGTACATGATTGTTCTCTCGTTTTTGAAGTTGGTAAGTGCGAAAGTATAGTGTTCAAAGTCGTGCAATCTTTCAAGACTCAAATTTATATGATAATTCGTTTTTTCTTAGGGTCTACATCAGGAACGTGTAGTGAACAATATAATATTACCATGCGTAACGCTACAAGCAAAGGTTCGTTTCCATCTAGCTTTAATGTCATTTCAGTCATTTCTTTTTCAGGACTGACCTTTTTCCATTCTGGTAAATCTAAAATATATAGGTCGTACATCTAAAAAAATGTGTCTCTGGAACACTAATGACTTGCCCAATAGTCCTTATATACTGAAAACTGTGCCGAATTGCAAATTTTGTAGAGCCAAAAGATTTCAATATGAATCACCGGGATTTTGTTGTGATAATGGATCAGTGAAATTGATTCACTATGGACTACCTGCTAAATTGCTAAATCTTTATTTAGGAAACTCTGAGGAGTCCAAACATTTTCGTACTTATGTTAGATTGTATAACAATATGTTTGCATTTACTTCTCTTGGAGTGAATTATGATAGAGATTTAGCAAGAAGAAATTGTGGTATTTATACGTTTAGAGTTCAAGGGAAAATGTATCATTTCATAAATGACCTCCTGCCTTCAAGTCAAGCAGCAAAAAATCTACAGTTATATTTCTATGATACTGATAATGAACTAGCAAATCGGATGGCATTCTCTGACAAGCTTAATGAATCGGTTATCAGGACTTTGATGGACACATTAAAAGTTAATCCATACTCTATCTTTTTGAAATCTTTAACAGATATTCCAGAATTATCAAACTTCTACATTGCGCTTAAGTCCGACTCTGGTTTAGATCAAAGAACATATAACTTACCGACATCATCTGAAGTAGCAGCAATATGGATAGAAGATGAAAGTAGTTCCAATATTTCTCTACCACATATTCGAATTTATACACATAGTAGTAAAAGCCAATTGGTAAATTACTACTATGGTTGTTATGATCCATTGCAGTATCCATTACTATTTCCTTATGGACAAAAGGATGGCATTGTGGTATTAAAAAAATTATTCGAACGAATAATACTATTAGCCATGGAACTTATTGTGAAAATGAACAGCTACCAAGTGTAGAAAACATGTGTTCAGTCGACATGCTACTTGACATGGAAGCAGAACTTCTGGAAAAAAAGAAAAGAAAAAGAAATACTGTGTCATGCCGTGAGTATTATTGTTACAAGCTTCAAATGAGGGACGATGAAGAAAATGGGGTTTTACATGCCGGAAGAGTATTCCAACAATACTCAGTTGACGAATTCATCAAGCTTGAGACTCAAAGGTTAGATTTCTATTCATTTAATCAAGATTTATTTAGAATTGATGCGTTAGCGGGGATTCTTGATGTTCTAAGACACGGAGAGAGAGAGAGCCATGCAACATTGGCAGACAAAGTTTTCTTCCTGCAAGTTTTATAGGAGGTCCTAGGGATATGCGCCGACGATATATGGACGCTATTGCGTTGGTGCAAAATTTTGGGAAACCTGATATATTTTTGACAATGACATGTAATCCATCTTGGCCAGAAATAGAAAAACATTTATTGGTAACAGATGAGGTACAAAATAGGCCCGATTTAGTTAGTCGTGTGTTTAGAGCAAAGGTAGAAGAGATGAAAACAGATATTCTAAAGAGTAATATATTTGGAAAAGTTGTTGCTTTTATGTACACTATTGAATTTCAAAAGCGTGGTCTTCCACATGCTCATTTTCTTATCATACTCAAAGACGAATATAAATTGTTAACTCCGGAAGCTTATGATAGAGTTGTTTGTGCTGAAATACCCGATTCTGATAAGAATGATTACCTGTTTTCAGTTGTTACTAAACATATGATGCACGGACCTTGTGGTAGTTTAAATCCTAAATGTCCTTGTATGAAGAACCGAGAATACTGTAAGTTCAAATATCCAAAAGATTTTGCTGATCATACATCAAAAGGAAAAAATGGATACCCAATTTACAAAAGGCGAAATAACGGTAAACGTGTAAATATTAGAGGACAATTTCTTGACAATTCGTGGGTGGTTCCTTACAATCCATATCTACTGAGCAAATTTAACTGTCATATTAATGTTGAAGTTTGTTCTGATATTAAAGTTGTCAAATACCTTTATAAATATATCTGCAAGGGACATGATAAAATTGCCTTTTTCGTACATGCTGATGATCCAAATATTGAAATAGATGAAATCAAAGAGTATCAATCTGCTAGATGGGTATCTCCACCAGAGGCAACTTGGCGTTTATTTGGTTTTCCCATTAGCGAAATGACTCCATCTGTTTATCATCTTCAGCTACATCTTGAAGGACAACAATTTGTCTCTTTTAAAGCCACACAGACCATAAATGCAATTATAAATAATCCCATGATTAGAAAAACAATGTTGACGGAATTCTTTTTGATGAACAGAGAAAATAAAGATGCCAAGAAACTAAATTTACTCTATAAAGAATTTCCAGAATATTTTGTATGGTCCAAACAATATAAAATGTGGACACGTCGACAACAGGGCACTGTTATTGGACGTATTGTGACATCTCATCCAACAGAGGGGGAAAGATATTATCTTAGATTATTATTAATGAATATTAGAGGACCAAAATCATACCAACATTTGCTAACTGTTAATGGAATATGTTGTAGTACATTTAGAGAAGCCGCAGAAAAACAAGGATTATTACAATGTGATAATAACTTGGTTGACTGTATGTCAGAAGCTGTAAGATATCAAATGCCTTATAGTCTAAGACGTTTATTTGCTACACTTTTGGTATATTGTAATCCTGCTAACCCAAAAGAACTTTGGAACCGATTTGAAGATTCTATGTCTGAAGACTTCAAGATTTTGCCACATTTGAATGAGAAACAAATTCGCCGTATGGCTTTAGATCATATTAACAACATTTTGCATTCAATGGGTCGTGATATAAATGAATTTGCACTTGTACCAGAAAGAATTGTAGCTTCATCTGCTGCTAGGGAGGCTCAAGATTCTCATTTTGAAAGAAATATAATTGTTAGAGAAGAAGATTTATTACTAGAAACAAAATTGAACAATGAACAGCGAAAAGCATATGATGTAATCCTTGATAGAATATTTACGAATAAATCTGGAGCTTTTTTTATCGATGGTCCCGGAGGAACAGGCAAAACTTTTTTGTATCGTGCATTATTGGCTGCTGTACGATCAAAAGGATTCGTAGCTTTAGCAACAGCAACCTCTGGTGTTGCAGCTTCGATTCTTCCCGGAGGACGGACTGCTCACTCCCGTTTTAAATTTCCTATTAATATTGATGAACAATTCTTCTGTAATATTAGTAAGCAGAGTTCGCTTGCATCATTGATACGAGATGCCAAACTAATTGTGTGGGATGAAGTATCAATGGCCAAAAAACAATTGATAGAAGCTTTAGATTTACTACTGAAAGATCTAATGGATACAAAGACACTCTTTGGTGGAAAAGTTGTCGTTTTTGGCGGTGATTTCAGACAAACTCTTCCAGTTGTTCGGAGCGGAAAAAAAGAGGATTTCATACGAGAAAGTTTATTGCATTCTGAAATCTGGAACCAATTTGTAAAATTGCGATTATCAGTAAATATGCGAGCAAGAACAGATCCTGCTTTTTGCGAATATTTGATGCGAATAGGGAGCGGAAAAGAAAAAACAAATTGCCAAGGTAAGATTGAAATTCCTGATTGTTTCATTGTTCCTTTTATAAGTGAAAAAGAATCGTTGAATCTTTTATTTAGAATAATTTATCTAGATTTATATACATCTGCTTGTGATATGTCTTCTACAACTTCTCGTGTCATTTTGACAACAAAAAATGATTTCGTTGACGAAATAAATGATATGCTAATAAGTCAATTTTTAGGTGAATCTAGGACATATGTAGCGTTTGACGAAACTATTGAAACTACCGACCAAAGTCAATATGAAGATTTCTTGCATACTTTACACCCAGCTAGCTTGCCTCTGTATAAATTAACTGTGAAAAAGAATTGTCCCGTTATTTTACTGCGTAATTTAAATCCGTGTGAAGGTTTATGTAATGGTACACGACTTATATGTTGTAATTTCGAAAGACATGTGATAAGTGCTAAAATTGCAAGTGGTGACTTGAAAAACACACATGTATTTATTCCCAGAATACCTTTGTTGTCTTCACAAGATGAAAACCTGCCTATTCCTTTCAAAAGAACACAATTTCCTATTAGATTATGTTTTGCTATGACAATAAATAAAGCTCAAGGTCAGACGTTAGATTTTGTTGGAATTTATTTACGAGAGCCTGTTTTTTCCCACGGTCAGCTTTATGTTGCTTTATCACGAGCAAAAAACTCAAGTTCTGTGAAATTATTGATCCGACCACCAACACCTGATAGCAACGATGATCATACAACATACAATGTAGTATATGATGAAATCATTCAAGCGTCTCTCTTGTGAATTAACAGTAACACTATGAGCAATCACTTATTTGAGATTTGATGTACATCTGACTGATATCCTACAAAAAATTGATCCTCAGCATCTACAAATTGGATTGATATCACATAGATGTTAACTGAGGTGTCTCTGCATCTTGAATCCTTGCTTCACTAAAGATCCTAAAGATGGAATACTACTTGAATATTGCACTAACTATCCGGTAAGTAATTTTTTTCTTGAATATACATCTAATACTTGAAACCTTGCTTTGATTAATAATTTTGCGTGTGCATCTATATGTTTACATGTTTGCCTATTTCTGGACAGATTCCAATAGTATACCAAATAAAATTCTTCTTCTTCTTTAGCTGTTGAAAATATGATATCTCCTTATCTTCTCCAGAATGAATGAAAGAGCTTGGCTTAGTTTCTGCAATGGAGATCTAAAATGAATTCGTTCAATATCAACTTACTTCAGATAATATTCCACAAAACTACTTGATGATTCCAAGGTAAGTTTCTCTTAATAGTTTTAACATGTTATTTGACGAAATTTTCTAAATTGTTTGAGTTCTTTAGAAATGAATGACATCTTAATATTTTCATTTTACCTTTTCAGTTTCCCTTAACTGTATAATTTCTTTTGCTGAATACTTCTGTAGATCCTGAAGACATATTTGAAAAAAGAACTGTTATTCTCGCAGCTTCTTGCCATTATTGGTTGCAATAATTCTGCTAGCTTTAGGTTTGGGCGTCATTCAGTGTAGACATAAAAGAACAGAGAGTTCAATGCTAAAAAAGATAAAATAAAATATACTATTTTTGGTACTTGGCAACCATAACCAGATAATCAAATAGTATTGTTCTCTAATTGTTTAGTTTTCTTATCAACTTTATGGTCTAAATTCTCTACTTGTATAAACATATTGCAGGAAAATTGGCCCACAACCATAACAAAGATCATAACAGTTCATTGCTTGGTCTGCTTTCTACTTTGTCACAACCATTTATAATTCTTGATCTGGGTGCAGAGCCTCAAGAAGTCAGACGTTTAGCATGCCAAATAGTAAGTACTTCTGTGATAAATTCAAGGCTTTTTACTAGACTTAAAGTATGTGCATGCATAAACTAAATTTAAGATATTATATCTTATTATTTTTTCAGTTTCTACCCAATTGAAACCTTTTCTGTATGAAAGATTATTTTTCCTGAAAAATATGGCTAACTATGTATAGATACTCCTCTAGATTTCCAACTTAGTAACTTTCATCTTTGCTGGCATCTATAGTTAACTATGATGTTATGTTCTATCCATGATTTGTTGTTCAGTTAGGTGACAAATACTTTGCTGCTATTAACAACAATGAGATAATGCTCTGTGCATTCTAAGATCCAGAATCTATTTCAACAAGGAGACTGATCTTTTAACAAGGTTTAGATAGTTCGCTGCCTTAACAAATTGTTCCACATTTTTTGCGTAAATAGTTGTAAGTAGTGTGTGCCTATGTTTGTGAAGGCAATTAATATTAATTTTTGGATATTGGAGCAGCCTCTAAATGTTTTGCAACAACATATTATACTTGAATGCATGTACATTTTCAAAAGTTTACAACGTTTACCGCATGATGTTTTCCTTTATACTACTGATGTCAACGCTTACTCTTTAATAAAAGATTTACACAAATATCATTTACATAATTTTAATTTTAGTTCAGTTATAAAAGTGTGTGGCCATGTTTAACAATTCACTGCCACTAAAATATTGATAAAAACATTTTTTTTTCTTAAATGAAATATTTATTATCGAACATCACTAAACACTTTAAAGTTTATCTTATATAAACTACGTCATTGAGGGCGGGCTATACATGGGCGACAACCAGCTAGACTACATTAGAAGTCCAAATTAACAAATGAGACAAGCGGTCATTTTTCCTTCAGATTTAGTTACCTCAGTTTGTTATTTGTATAATATTTGTGTTTGTCAAAGCTACATTTTCAGACAGAAGCTAAAAGCTAAAGAGCTTCAACGCATCTTATGATAACTTATGATAGAGTCAAGCTATGATGGAGTCAAGGTAATGTCCAATAGATTGCCTTTATCTCAGGTTTGTTGAGAAAGTAAATTAATTTCTTAAATTATCTTACGACCAAGGTTTGCTAGCTATGATTATAATCATATTTATCTGTCTAATATAAATATTTGTTGAATTTCTTCACTATTCAGATAAACAACAAGGTTTAGGTGGACTCATTTGGTCATTTTTGTGCAATATTGGTAACATCGTCTTCTGCCAACTACACTTTCAATCTGTCAAGGTAAGTATATGAGTTCAAAAAAATTCTCACACTGCTACGTTCACGATATGGATAACTGTTCAATATGTTCTAATATGCTATTACTAAATGCTCCACCCTCAGATTGCAGTTATATTAAGCTGCCTTTGTTTAATATGCCTACTCAATTGTGAGATGCTGCTACTCACTCTATGCAATATACTTTTAAGGGCCATGAGACAACTTAACTACCAGATAGACGAGCGTGTGAGCTCTAAGGTTTTTTATATTCGGTGGAAGGCAGGTTGAAACTCTGCCGCAAGCAAGTGAAAGTTGGATAACAAAGGCTAAAGTGTGCATGTACTGAGATTTGAAAAAAAGAGCCAGTTGTAACAACCTGATTACCTGGTAGTCAACGACAATGTATTGGTGCTCTTCTCTTAGGGCTCAAAACAACTATGTCAATAGTGGCAAGAGAAAGATTCATTACTCAGGTCCGATGCTTAACCTTCTTTGCCTTTCTAATACAAACTTATATTCTTTCATTAATTTTACTCTATCTATTTTTTGGTTTCTTACAGGCTTATTCTTGATTTTTGATTTTCTCTGTTTTCCTCTTGTAGATCACCACTTTTCTGATAGCAATAGCAGAACGGAGAATTGAAATTGAAGAGCTTCAGTATACGTTGCAGCTGAAAATGACTATGGAATCCTTAACAAATACTAACTCACCATCAGGAACAGTAAAGATTCAAATTTTATGAAGTGCATCAGCGAGCTGTCATTTCGTCTATATCAAGAACAAGTATATGCGAGCTGACAATGGCAATCCCAATTTATAGTTATTTGTAGACCTTTGTCTTTTTACTTAGCTTATTAACCAAAAACTCATGTGATTTCAGTTTGTTTTATGATGTTTCCCTCTTCCACTGACCTTCAACAACAAAAAAATTCCAACAACCGAACTTCTTATGGTTGAAATCTTACGGTATGTGCTTGAATTTGTTCAGGATGTTCTTCAGCTCATTTTGTCGCTGTTGCAAAAAAAATACTAGCTAACATGTGAAGATGGTTTATTATGTTGAAAGCAGAGGTTTTTCTATGTGGGTCAAGTGAATTTTCGTTTACTTCTTTACTGTGGTACAATATTTTAGTCATTGTCACAACTTCGTTATCAATCATTTACAAATTCAGACGACTTGCACAAACAAAATTGTGAACACATTTTTTGTTCAAAATTGATCTAATTGGTCCAAACCAAATCTTAATTTAATATCTAACATTCTAATACCTATCACAATAATTCTCGATAATTAAATTCAATCCAAAACTTCAAAGACCAATAGACGTGCGTCTATTGTGTTTTTAAAATTCCTTTCAAAACAAACCATTCCAAACTAATAACAAATATGCAACGAATATTAATTTTTTACAACTCAAATGAAAAAGTAAAAAGGAGAAGTAAAGTCTAGCATATGATGTATATTTATTTAACTTCTAAAATACGATACTCATATAATGTTCGTATTTTCTAGCACATGGAATGCAAATAACGTACATTGGCCTCTCAACTAGAAAAAAATGGATATAAAGTGGATAAGTGCACCATTTTGTAACAAGTTACAAGGACTTTAGTTTAGATGCTTGTCGATCGATAGATTCTATCCCTGCAACTGACCACTGTTGGGATCAGTATAACTTCTTGCTTTCTGTCAGAGCAACATATTTTATTTTCTGAGTACTGCTGAAGGGTTAAATCACTTTTGGATTTACAATTATACTTCTGCAAAAATGAAGTAGCAAGCATAATTGCTCAAAAAATTGATACTTTAGCTCTAAACTGCCCCGTGCAACTTCTTTTAAATCTACTGCTTCAAATAATTATAGAGGATATATGAAAACTTTAAGGTTATTGGGCCCGGGCTATGCCCGGGCTAATCGTACCTAGTATATATAATGTCACGGATACACAAAGTACCCTTCGATCCTATGAAAATAGTGCAAGTACCCTTGGCAAGTCACCCGCGCCCAATAGGCAAACAACCGCTTCATTTTATTTGCCCTAATCCTTCTCTTTTACCTCCATAGCACTGAAAAACCCCTAAACTCAGAGAGAAAACCTCTGCAGCTTTTGTCAAAAACGCCTCTCGAAACTCTTTCGTCGACGCCTCGATTTCGTCTTTCCGTTAGTCCACCAGGTGCGTTCCATTTCCAGCTTCTTAAAGTAACATTAATGCACACTTTTCTTTTATCTTTTACTTGTTCTACGTATTCATGCTGTAACTTATCCAGTTTAGCTCGTTAATTTTCCGTAACTCTGTCCCGAATTTTGTTTTCCCGGTGCTGTACCAGGATTTTGCACCCAATAACGCAGTTCATTAGTTGTTATTTGCCAGGATTTATAGTTTTATGACTTTTTTTTTCAAGCTTAGAGTGTAGATTTGTATTCCGATATTTCAAATTCTAGCACTCAGAGGCGGATTCAGGATTTTAACTTAGTGGTGCTGAGTACTAGTTGCAATTGGTGCAACTTCATGGCATGTGTGGATATTTTCTCAGTGCCAAGTGGCAACTGTACATGCATCTGTCTTTAAGCGTTTCAGATTGTTTATCCAAAGCCCTGTTAGGACCATCAATTAGTCAAGTGCTTGCCCTAATAGTAGGATAAGAAGGGCAAAGTAACGTTTTGCTTTTACTAGGTCTAGAATATGAATATTTCAGTTCTCTGTCTTTTGCCCTCATTTTTTTTAAAGGAAGTGATTTTTAGAGATGGTTGAAATTGTGCCTCAAGGAAGGTTTTCATAACTAAACAACTAGGATCTTCACTTATCAGATAGAGCCTGTCTGATGGCCTATATTATATATTGTGTACGCGATCTTTAAGGTCACTTAAAAAATATATGAAGAAACGAGTAAAAAAGAAGAGGAAAGTATATACTAACATTTTACTCCAATACACACTAAGTGATGTATGTTATTCTTGTTTTGCATATAAAATCTCTTACTCTGTTTACTTATTATCCTACTCGTTCCTTTGATATGTTTATAATAAGATATCTGGGCAACAAATGTGTATAATTTTCCTTCCTTTCTTAATCTTAATTGCTGTACTAATCAAATCTGCTTGTTATGGGGACAGGTTTTAAACTATGGGCGATAGTGAAACTGCCGTAGCTCAAACCTCGTCAGTCACTGACTATAAATCTGCTGGTTATTCATCAATAGTTCCTGATGATGCTGGCACACATACTTCTTCCGAGGCCGGAAATGCTGGGGATTTGGCTACTCCTTGTCCAAATGGTGCTGGGGAGTTCGCATCTTCTAATGTAGAAGCTGGAAACCTATATACTACTGATGCAGTGTCTACCCAGCAAGAAGGTGCTACTGCTATGACATATGAGGCCAGCCAGGATCTTGCAGCTCTAGAAGATGCAGCTGCAGGTTCATCCCAAGCTGCTGTTTATGACTCTTCTGCAAATGGCAACAACACTACTGAAGCAAGAGACATTGCTGAAAATGAGATTGCATCAGATGTTCATGGAAATTCCAATATGCATCAGCCAGAAGATGGCTTAGGTATTGTTTTTAGCTGTTCGGTGTCCTTGTGTCATCGGCTGTTGCTACTTCTGCAAGTTAAACTAAATAAGTACTTAGCTAGATGTTAAGGGACACTTGTTATCAATTTAATTAGTCACAAGAATCATAATACAAATACATGATGCTGCTATAAATTTTTTTAGTCTATGTGGTGTTACTATTTCTTTTACAAAAGAAAATCTGCATAAAATGTGAAGTTACACGAGGATGCTGCTGTAGCTTGGCTCTCTGTGAATGTCTTTGGTGGTTGGTAGCTATTTGTTTTTCTTGGCAGTCTTCTCATATTGTAACCAGCTGCTTTTCCCAGTCAGCTTTCCTTTTACTCTTTCCTGCAGCATGTTGTCTACTCAATCAATTTTGTTTTCTTTCCTCATCTAATCTTTCTAAATTTTAAATTTCCTTTTGTCCCTTTGTCCCGAATGTCAGTTGCATCAACGGTTAGTAAACTTACTGGCTATACTTTCTGTTGACAGCTTTATCTCCTGAAGAGGAAAGATTATGGAGCATAGTAAGGACAAATTCTTTAGACTTTAATGCCTGGACTTCCCTTATTGAGGAGACGGAGAAGATGTCAGAGGTACTTTAACTGACCTTCTGTTTAGTGAATTTGTCATCTTGGTATTCTTTGTTTTCTCGTCTTCAGTTTTCTGTATTGATAAAAGAGAGTTTCTCATTATTCTCATTTTATTTAAATTTGCTACTCTCTCCCACTGGTTGAAGTATCTATCTGGAAAGGTACTGTCTTTTCCCCGGGCAGCTGAATTGACAGGGTACAATTTTTTGCTAAAAATATATCTGACTTTCGTGCTAGAGAGAAGGGTGTTGTGGCAGAAAATTCCTCAATTACATACATGTAAATTTGGGTTTGTGTGTTGTTTCTGGCAAATAATTGTCAAGCTATAAATTAATCACCATACTTAAAAGGATTAAATTCTGTTACACTCTATGCGAATTATTACTGCAAGAGCTGCGTCAGATAGGTGCTTTGTTGAGTAGCTCATATCTCTTATGGTTATAGTTATTCTTTAGTTAGATAAATCCCTTGTTTCTTTGAGACATGGAGCACTAAAGAGTTGGTGGTGTTCCATTCTTCTCTCTTCCCATCCCTGCCATGTGTTGACCTGCTTAGGAAAAACTTTTAGTGATGTCCATGTTTTAAGCTGAAATTACCAGTATATTTTGGATTTTTTTAAAACTGGTAGTTGCCAGGATTGTAGTCAGTGTTGTATAACAGTCACGAAACATCATTTTTCACTAGCAAGAGATTTGACAGTGCAAGAAGGGTGATGCTCTTATCCACGTCACTTTGCACTTGTTTGGATCACAAAAGGTTTAATCCATTTGGCTTTGATTGAAAAATTTCCTATTTCCATGAAATCAAATTAATATTAATTTATAGAATTGATAATAATATGGTATTTCTTCAATGATCTGCCTATTATTTAATACATTTTAGTCTAGCCATTCCCATAAAAAAAATTTAATACATTTTAGTATTGACATTTATGGACAGCTTTAATTTCTTAATCATTATATTAAGCAAACAAGCTCATCTATAATGTGGATTGTGTATTTGTCTTTTGAGAGCAAGTTTTCCAAGGTCCAATTCTCTTGCTAAAATCTGCTTGTGGCTGTCTATATTCTGTATCTTGTGGACACAAATTTTCTCAATGATGGATTCAATATGCATTGTAAAAATGTGTAGGGCAACATTTTGAAGATTCGGAAGGTTTATGATGCATTCTTGGCAGAATTTCCTCTATGTTACGGTTATTGGAAGAAATATGCAGATCATGAGGCACGTCTTGGCTCTGTTGACAAAGTTGTGGAGGTCTATGAACGAGCTGTTCAAGGCGTGACATATTCGGTAGATATGTGGTTGCACTATTGTGTTTTTGCTATAAGCACTTATGGAGATCCTGACACCATTAGAAGGTAATGTTATTGATGATCTGATTTGTTCTAGTTTTGCATGGGAGATCATTGGCGCAAGATGCTTATAATTTTTCTTTGTGCCAACCAATATGATCTTTCAATGCTATCTGACCTGATTTCAGCATGTCTGCAACAGCTCTTATTCATCTACATGGTGTAAGGTTTGTTTGGATTGCACTTCAGGATTGTAACTGATGTGTAATCCAAGTGATTCTATGGCTACTGTAGCCATATGAATTTTCTTCAGGATTCAATTATATTTTATGGCCTTATTCTCCCCATTCTATTTTCCCTGTCCTTAGGGCTGTGTATAGTCAATGTAGTTCTCCATGATATTTTGCTGTTATTAACCGTCGCACATGAGGTGCATCAATAACCGCATTGCTGCTGAGAAGATCTCGTCCAGTAAGGCTAAGATGCCCTCTCACTGCTCCTTTCACGGACATTGTAAGATTGTTTTGAGGAAGGTAAATGCAGCATATTTGTGGGAGTGTCTGCTCTTTGAGTGAATTAGTACTTTAGCTTGAACTCTTCTCATGTACTGCATTTTCTAGAGTCCATGCAAAGGCATGTGTGTGTTATTATTAATCCTATGGTACATTGTTCTGTTGGTTTGTTAGGTTATTTGAAAGAGGATTAGTGTATGTTGGAACAGACTACCTGTCTTTTCCACTTTGGGATAAGTACCTGGAGTACGAGTACACGCAGCAGGCTTGGTCAAATGTTGCTGCCATATACACACAGATATTGCAGAATCCAAATCAGCAGCTCGATCGCTATTTTGAAGGGTGATTATCTTCCTTGAAGCTTATTTTGCATTTTCCATTATTCATTCAAAGCTCTCAGATCAGTGGTTGAACTTCTAGCTCAATCTCTTACAGTACCCTTTTTTTCTGATTCCCTTGTGAATAGAATACAACTTTACCTGGTTTTATATAAACAAGCTCAATTGTCGGCAGTACACTTAAGTGGATATCTTGCTTGTTTAAGTATCTGGTTTTTGCAAGTTCCTTGTTTAAGCATCTTGATATTGATACAGGAAAAGTAGTTGATGTGACTATTGTTGCTTTCCTGGTGCAATTGTATCTACAGTTTTAAGGAGCTGGTGGCTAGTAGGCCTCTATCAGAGCTACGAACTCCTGAAGAAGCTGCAGCTGCAGCAGAAGCTGGCAGTGAACAGATTGAGGGAGAGGTTAATCCTAGTTCTGAGCCTTCTAAACCTGTAAGTGCAAGCTTAAAAGATGCCGAGGAGTTGGAGAAGTATATCGCCATTAGAGAAGAGATGTATAAGAAAGCTAAAGAGTTCGATTCTAAGATCATTGGTTTTGAAACAGCTATAAGGAGGCCATACTTTCATGTGCGGCCTCTTAATGTTGCAGAGCTTGAAAATTGGAACAATTATCTTGATTTCATAGAAGGAGGAGATGACTTCAATAAGGTACTTGGGTTTGGTTATTTGTGGATTTTCAATATCTCTTTATTTATAGCTTTAGTTGCCTTGTTATACATTTATTTACAGTTAAAGTAATATCTGCTGCCTCATATGCTATATTGGCTAAACCATCGGATGAAGCATCTTTTTAAACGGGATATTGAACTTGGACTAAAGCATGGACCATCCATTTGCTTTCTATAAGGCTAAGTACTTCAAACCCTCATTTGTGAGTCGACGTTCTGGGTTCATGATCTGTTGTATCGTGGAATATTTGTTTTGAAGTTCCAATGTTATGCATGCAGGTGTGTTCTTATCTTCCTAACCATGTCAGGCTAGAAGGGTCCCCCTTTTGTATTAGAGGGGCCCTGTTCCACCAGAGGAGTACTTCTTAGTCCTTTCAGCTTTTGGTGGAATT